TCGTCGAGTCCCTCTCTTTAACTCAAAATAAATGATCAAAACATAATACCTGGAAATCCGGATGTTACACAGCTCCCGACCCTTTTTTATTGGATGCCTCGTCAGTGAATAGGGTCCATTTCAGGTCATCCTTGGAATGGCCTATCCCCAATAACTCTTTTGTCTGAACTGACGTCTTTGCATCGCCTGGGATTTCAAGGAGAAAGTCTGCTAATGCTTGTCCTTTGATACTGGTACGCGGGCGGTAGCTGATATCATGCTCCCCTAGCTCGATTGCCCATTTCGCTAGTCGCCCGGATGTTTCTGGCTTGAGCAGTATTTGTTTGATCGGACAATTTGTTAGCACTTCTATCTGATGTGCTTGGAAATAGCGTCTCAAGCGTCATGGGTTCGTGTCTCACGGATTGCACCAAATGATGTGACCTAGTTCCACTACGACGGTGCTCTATGCCTTTGGTGATTCCGGTGAACCTGCAAGGTCACAGCGAGAAAGGATCGTCAGCCGTTTTCCGGGAGGAGGCTCCCAGGAAAACGCTTTGACGGTCAAGTCAGTGGATAGAATTGAGATTGTATTGTGAGTAAACTGAGAGAAGACGACTTACTTCCCAAGGCACCTCGGGTGGTCTTTTATACTGAGTCCTTCTGCTAGTCCGTACGGGACAAGGGCGTCAAACCCGACAGGATCGGGGACGCTGATTGGGCGATCGTGTTCCTTAATCTGTCAGAGCCAACGATTGGTTCAGGCGGTAATGCTCTGAGCATTTGTCTTGTCGCCTGAGACCGTTACATTTGTCCCGGAGTGGAAGGCGCCCCTGGCGGGGCCGAGCTTTTCTCCGCGAGCGACCTGCTCTTAGGGGCGCTGACGGGCGCTAGGTTCCGTCGGCTTAGCCTGCCGGGCGCGGCATGCCTCGGGGCATTCTCTGGCGCGGCTTCTTCATGCGCTCTAGGGGCACGTGTTTTTGTCAAGAAGAAAATGATAGTTTAGATGAAAAGGGAAAGGTAATTCTCTAAAATTGAAAGAATCGACACAGTAATTATTTAAATAAGCAAATATATTACTTGGGCTTAAGTCTAGCAAATGTTCAATTCTTGAATAATTTAAAAAAATAATAATAATAAAATAAAAAGAAAATGAAATAAACTTGTTTGCCAAGTATTCCGATTCCGTTATTTTTGGGATATATCTGGTTAAAAGTTCCATAGTTGGGTATTTATAGAATAAATTTTAGAAAGAAAAAAATATATGAATTAATGAGGATGGTAAGGCGATGAGCAGCACCGGACACCACTCCACCTAGATATCTTGTTCTTCAAATCTGTTTTCTTATTTTCAAATTCTACAAATAGTATTGAAAAGTACATAATAAAGTAAATAAACCAAATAATGCCAATTAATAAAGAAAAATAATTTTTTTATTACTCTCTAAAGTATTCAAGGAAACGAAAATCATCAGGTGTCGTTGCATCAAAGTTCCACAACAGATCAAGATCGGTACCCACCTCCTCCTCTGAAGCTTCGTCGGAGGTAGCTGATGGTTGCACCATACTTGGTGAATGTTCTTCAGGTTTCAAGCTAAACATTTGAAAATCCAAATGTGTGTCATGGTCAACTCCCATCTCCACTCTAGTGAGATTACCATTGGTTGTACTGGTGGTGGTGTTGGTGGTGTCGTCAGTGGTGGTAAGGACTGTTATTGGTGATTCTGGAGGTGGTATTATTGGCGGTATGAACCATTTATCTGTTTGGAACAGTTTTCCGGCGTCTTGACTACTTCCCACCTCCATTGTGGCAGCATCATTGGTGCGGACAGTGGTGGTGTAAGCTGTTATTTCCGATTCTTCATCGGCCCTTGAGGCGGTGATTGGTGGCTCCACCACTACGCCTTTACTTCTTGTCTCTTGGGGGAATAGAGCTAGCCACCTAGAAGCTAGAACAACTGGTGAATCATTCACGCCAATCAAGAGAGGGAAATTCACCTTAGCTCGTGAACCTAGTAGCTTGAAAGCTGCGTTATCATAAGCCAATGCTGCTTCCTCTGGTGTATCAAACGTTCCCAGCCATATTCTCTTTCGTTTCTTCTCCGGATCCCTTACCTCTGCGGCAAACTTGCCCCAAGGCCGCCTCCTCACCCCTTTGTACCGCCTCCACTCTGTTGGATGCTGCGGCTCTCCACCTCCGGACACCACCGGTTCTTTCCTTTTATTAACATATTGCAGTCCCATATTTGTTGAAATCTTTTTCAACTGATGAAGGGATACTGTATGGAAAAGGTGAATTTGTTGAAGTCTTTTTCAACAGGTGAAGAGATACTGTATCCAAAAGGTGAATTTTTAGTTAACGCACGGTGTTCTTAATGAAGAAAGAATCGTAAAGAAAATATGGAAGAAAAAGAAAAGAAACGTTTATG